CCGGATGGCTGACCTCACTCGCTGTGGAATAGGGCGGGGGGTCGAGTGGAGGTAATAGTGAGGGTCCAGGGAGAGGATAATTGCAACCATACAGAGGCATCTCTAAATATGATTTTAAAGTACTTATCAGCTATAAAACAAGAAGTATAACAATAATGTTATTATACATTTTAAACTTGAATTTAAATTTCAAGCATTTTAAAAGAATATTTAGATTATTCAGCAACACATGTCACCAAGAACCGCCAAATAAAGATAATAAAGAAGTTTCCTACTAGTTTCAATTGGGTTACTGTTGAAATGAACATTAGTATGTATTGATGTTGATTTGCATCTTTTTCCATGTGTGGTGATGCAAAACTTTTAAAAAATATCTCGCACAAAATTTGTACTAAAATGTGATTTAAAACAGATATAATTTATTCAAAAAGAATTTGCTTGACATAAATTCGTAAAGAAGTAACTAGTTATCGAAATTGGAAATGGCTTTTATAAAAACCACCTATAAATGCAAAATGCACCAATTTAAAAGATCGCGTAATTTAAGGAAAGTCATGAAATGGTTGGTTTGTTTTTTCCCTTCCTTTTTTTTAAAGATATAATTTTTCCATTTCTGTAACATTTAAACAATAACATTTTTTCTTTTCTCTTACAGAATTTTAGAAACGTTTTTTTTCTTCTTCTAATTCTGGAATTCCGAGAACTAGTGCTCCATATGTCCCCCTATGAACTCGTCACGTTTTTAACTGTCGTTCGTAAAGTTCAGTGGTGGCCAAACACAAAAATACACCCAACCATGAGTACTCAAAGCAACACACACTGTACACTTTACAGTATGGGGTTGCTTCCAGAGGCAGTAGGGTGGCGGATGAGGTTGCCAAAATAGGCACTTGTGGAGTTCACATACTTCTCCTGAAATGTGAATATGGGCTTTGCCAAGGAATCTAAATGTCATAGAGGAAAGTTCACACTTTTCATGACGATCAAGGAATCGTGAACACATTGCTATCCTCTGATTCATGTCAGCTTCGCAAGCAGGAAAACGGTACTGTCACAGATGAAGATCTGCCTTGAAAATGGGGACCGTTCATATGTAGGAAAGTCCTAGCTGCAGACACCGTCTACGGACAGACGTCTCATGGGGTTCATCTTCGGAATTCTGCACCCTGGTGGCGTCTAAAGAGGTGCAAACGGTGTGCGTTTGATCTGAAGTGGTCGTTCTGTCTGGACAAGTTTTGTTGTGATTCTCTAAAAGTCCTAACTAATAGACCATTTCCACCCTTGACATCAAAATACACATTATGGGTACTTTAACATTGTTATAGTACCTTGTGCGAAACTTACCAGATGATTTGGCGGAGAGGAAATGTTCATACAAAAAAGTCTCTGTTCGTTACTTAATTTAACCATGATCTCAGAAGGCAAAGGAAACTTGCGAAAAACTGTCTACAAACTTCTGTTGGCCTGTTAGAATCTAAGTAACAGTAATCTGATTACTGTAGCTTGCAATATGGCGCGATCGTTGTGACTTTTAATGGTAGGCCTAAGGCGATCTAGTGCGTCATGTAACAAAAATGGGGACATAGCTGAAAATAGGGTTATCATTTTTTTACGCGCTATGTAAAGCAAAACTATTCTGTGGAACCATCTAAAATGAGTATCAAATTCTTCTTTTATAATAATAA